TTATTAAGATATAAATGAAGAGACTGCCTTAATCACATATGGAATGGGTCAAAAAAAAAATTCCATAACATGATATATGGTCTTCAAATGTGGGAGGTTTGGGACTGTCTAGCTTAGGTCAGACCCTTTCATGGTTGCCCTAGTTGGAAGATCTCATCGTTTGTCTTTGTCATTCACAGTGCCCAGCCATCCTCCCCACCCCCATCTCCCCTTTCCTGCCTCCCTCCTTGCCCTCTTCTCAAAGCCTGTGTCCCTCCTTTGCTCGGGGAGGATGGGAGCAGGCTGTCTTGCAGTTTGGAAGGGAAGAAGTCACACTTCGATTCTTACGGGTTGCCTGGGGCAGAGGACTTCTTTAGAACCCTTTCGGACAGGTCACAGCAAGGCCCTTACCCTCCTGGGCCTCTAGCCCAACCCTGGGGAGCTCAGAAAGAGGCACACCGCAGCCCAGCCGTGAGCAAAAGGGCAGGTTCCTACAGGCTTATCTGGAGGGCCCTCGCTGGTTCTCCTAGAGATGCCTAGAAATTTAGAAGTGGGGGAATGTCTTTTGGCAGGGGAGCACACTGTGGAAGCAAATAGTGCTTTCCTTGGGGAATTCTCTCAGACGTCACCCCTCCCAGAGATGAAAGGAGCATCTGGGACTCCCACGAGCCCTGCATAATGGCTTGGAGAAAGTACAATATTCTTCAATTACACTGCTGTCTTCAGCACGCATTATAAAGTGAGACGACGGTGTGGCAGGGTCATTACAAGCAATTAGCAGAGATCTCCCTGCTCCAGATGTGGACTGGGATCTGATAGGGATCTCCTTGGGCCTGCAGCTGTGCTAAGTGCCAGAAATTACCTACAATGACTGACCGAAACCCAGAAGGAGGCCCTCACCGGACGCCACTCACAAGCCCAGCATTGTTCAAAATGCGAGGTCATTGAGCAATTCTTGCCCGATTCGCTGTCTTTAAAGATATCACTGAGACATAAGGAAGGCCCTGGAAGATGAAATAGGCTTAGTTGTGGAGAACAAGTCGTAACTGGTCAGAAGGATTTTTGTTTCACAGCATTTTCCCGTTCTGGGTCAAAATGGACACCTTGGGGGCGCCTGGGTACCTCAGTGGGTTAAGCCTCTGCCTTCGGCTCAGGTCATGATCTCAGGGTCCTGGGATCAAGCTCCGAATCAGGCTCTCTACTCAGCGGGGAGCCTGCTTCCCGCCACCCCCCCCTCTGCCGGCCTTTCTGCCTACTTGTGATCTCTCTCTGTCAAATAAATAAATAAAATCTTTAAAAAAAAAAAAAAATGGACACCTGGGGAGCATTTTGTGTCCTTGAGAGAAAGAGGTTAGGAAAAACACACGCTAAAGTTTTAAAAAGCTTCTCAGCTTAGCCAGTGCCTATCATTATGGTCCCATCCACAGAAGAAGAAGAATCTAGTAATAATGCCCTCCACCCATTGGCTACTGAGTGACATGCCATCCACTCTGTTGAGCACATTTAAAACATCTCATGTCTCTGAGGTGTGGGGCAGGTGAAGCAGGGGAGCACTGAGCAGCTGCACAGCCAGCTCAAGGTCCCAGGATGGGGCTCTCTCACCAATTCCATGGTGTTGACTTTTGGTCACCATGAATAAATGCCCCAAGAAGAAAATATTGGCCACCTACACGTAAGTGACTATTGAAGAATGGTCCTTTCCAAACAACTCCCGTGTTCTAATGCTTTTTGACAAAACCTGTGTTGTCATCAGGCCAACAGGCCTGCCCCTCCCCAAGCCATCTTTGTCACATCACTGAAATGTGATGTTCTGTTATCCTTGCTAAGTGGTTAGATGAACACCTGTCCCATCAGGAAGGGACAAAGATAGCTGCGGGGAGCACATAAACTAGAGACAAAACCTCTCCAAGCAAACTCTCTTCTCAAGAAATTGTACTTATTAAGCTGTATGAGGTTTGTCTCTGAAACATATGCCTAGTCAGAAAGCCTGAGCTCATTTCAGGGCTGGAAATTGAACCTGGGGCTTCAAGTTCACAAAATCTTGGTGAAAATCACTCACAGTAAGCATGCAGAAAGGAAACAGTAGCCTTTTGCCAAAAAGGGGCTGGAACAAAAGGTCTTTATTTTACAAGTCTGGGAGAGTTCATTTTATTTCATTAAGAAGCCCTAGATTTTGTTTTCACTTCATGATACATGTTGATAGGTGTGCCTGGGGAGCTGTTCTCCCAAAGGACGACACTCTCTTTTCATACGCTCCATAAATATGAAGCCATTACAATGGCCCCCTTGAGGGAGAGATAGGATTCTGGGTTGAGAAAACAGGTAATCAGATGCCGAAGAAGAAAGGTAGAAGGCAGCAGGGCAGGTTGCCAGAAAGTGGTGGGAAACAAGATAGGGGCTTGTTTACTGGAACGAAGGTATAGTCGGGGACTTGGGCTGCAGAAACAAGGTGAACCCAGTTTCTGGTACAAAGCTGTATGTTCAGAGTTGGGCAAGCCACAAGCTGATTTAGGGCTGAGCCACCCAGCCCCCTACATGTGGTCTCTTGAATTCCTGAAGATTAGCAAGAGGACTCTTCTGGCTGATATGTCCTCTCCCTAGAATGGTGAACTCTCCCTACCTGGTGAACTCATGCATTCTTTAAGACTCGGCTCAGTTGTCCAAGGGGACGTTTCGTGCCCTGTAACACTTAGGGCTACGGATTTCAAGCTTGGCAACCTTCTCCCTCTTGATTCGTAAGCCGAGCTAATTGCAACCCTCCTTCGGGCCCCATGGCATTGTGTGCGTGTTACTTTTCATTGTGATTGTTATTGTACGAAAGCATTATATCACATGGGTTTGGAACGTGAACTTTGAAGTCTGAGAGGCCTTAGTTCGAATCATGGCTCCACCACTTCCTACCTGTAGGGCTTAGAGAAGATGACTTGACATCACCATCTCTGTTTCCCCATCTGTAAAATGGGCTCATAATTTGCTACCTGTGGCGTCTGGTTGTACTGAAGATTCAGTGAAATGATTGTTGAGAATGAAATGAGACAAAACATGGAAGGCGCTTAGCGCCTGGCGAGCCATAAGCAAGAGCTCAGGAGATTGTAGCTGGCCCACTGCAGCTGCCCCTTTCAGGAAGCTCCCATTACCTCAGCTGACAGGGATAAAGTACCTGTAGAAGCAAAGAGAGAAAGCAACTGGCACCATCACCACCTAGTTGAACCGGAAGTTCCTTCAGGATGCAGCCATTGAGTTGCCTGGCCTGGAAGGAAGAGCGCTCAACCCCAGAGAGGCTCCTTATGTGGGACAAGCAGTGGACTAACCAAGCCTGTGATCCCTCAGAGGGAGTGACAGAGAAACAATGGAGGCAGAGGGAGGCAGGAAGCAGAAGCCACCAGTCAGAGAAAGAAGGGCAAGTCCGCAGCGGGAGCTGAGCGCACAGAAGCAAGCGAGTCACTGCCCCGAGGGCCACAAAGCCTGGGTCCTGCTGCCAAGGCCACTGGAGGTCTGGGATCTTACACTCAAAGCCTAGTCGTGGCCCCCACCCCGCCGCCACACAGCATTTAATTCCAGAGAATGGGTTTTTATTAACAATTGTTAATATTTGAGTGTTTCCCATATATTACTTAGTTTAATCCTTTCAAGACCCCCCAAACCATGACATGAGTGCAACCATGACATCCATTTTAGAAGACACACAAAGAAGCTGATGATCGTGCCCATAAGGCCATACAGCTAATAAATGGTTAGAGGAGGGAGTCCCTATCTGGACCTTTCCAGTTCCAAAGCCTGTTTCCCCCAAGCCCCACGTTCTCCTCCGTGTCTGAGTCCTTCACTTTCCTTCCCCACAAACTAGCCGTCCTCAGTCTTCCTTAATCTCACTTATAAGATAAACCCTTGTAGGGAAAAATATAAAGGATTTATTCTCTCTCTGGAACTCCCCTTGATGATTCAACATGAGAGGTGGAATTTTTCCAATGATTTTGCCATCACGGTGATAAAATCATCCACGGTCCTTTTCAGTTTCATTTATTTATCCAACATCCTGTCCTCATTGAGGGGGAAGAGCGTGGAGGACAGATGCCAAAGAACTTTCATGATGGTGTGCAGCTAACACCAGGCTCCCTGAGCCACGCCAGTTTCTCTTCCAGGAGCTGACCTGTGAGCTGTCTTGGGGTGTTAGGTCTCTTCATGCATTATTCATCAAGCAAAGCTCCAAACTTGAGAAAAACTTCTGTGCCTCATCTGGGCCGCTCACCCACCCAGAGCTTCGACTTTCCCCGCCAGCCTCATCATTAGGAGATTTTGAAAACAGAGGAGAATAGTGAAGGACTCCCCTCCCCTCCTTACAAGGGGCTGTCGGAGCTCTCCAGGGAGCCAGGACTAAAGCCCAGGGAAGGGGGTGGGGAGAGGCCTAGAATACTCTCATTTGCATGAAAAAAAGTCCAAGGTTAAGTGCTTTGGCTTCCCGCCAAGAGAAAACCCTGGCCTGGAAGGATGACAAGAAAGAAGTGGGGTGTGAGTGAAATTTGGCTGGTGGGTGCCTGGCAAGGTGGGCGTGGGGCCCTCACAACTCAAGTCTGAGACCCAGGGCGGCTGTCAGCATTCCATTATGTACTTCTCACTCAGTCGACTTCTACTTTCAGCCCTCAAAGCTCACCTGGGCTGTGTTTTGAAGCTGAGGTATTACGAGCTCCCAGAACACATGTCCAAGAATGATCAACACAGATAAAGCTGGTTTTGTAGCTGGAATCCATTTCGGATTTCTCTTGAATTTACCGTCCAACACACAAAAACTTCCTGTTAAGAGATTTTAACTGCATGTATGCCTACATTCATATCCATGAGTATTTGTACATACACGTAGACATACGTATGTGTTACAGACTTCTTTTAAAAGGAAAAAAAAAAGCACAACCGTTTCCTAGTTCTTCAAAATCCTCTCTGCTTTTGGGGATGCTAAATGAAGACATGACATCATGCTGAGGGAGGGAAAGAAATCTAAAAACACCAATTTCTGTACTATTTTTCAGGTTTTACATTGAAAGCATATCGTTTTTAAAGGATAAAACCACCGTGGAGCTGTTTTTCCTGAACGCCAAGTCCTGTGTGCACAAGGTAAGATGCCCCAATTGTTACATTCAGTGAATGACCCCAGACAGACTGGAGTGTGGGGGGGAGACAAATGGTATTGCCTAGATTTTTCTGTCCAAAGAAAAATGGCCACAATCTTTTCCACGGCTGTTAAAAAAATATAAAAATTTTTAAACAAAAGGCAGCTCTTCTCAAATTCTAAGAAAGACAGCCACCTGCAAGGGACTCACACTCACAGACAACTACCATGGCCTTAAAGGCAGCTCATACTCCACACAGAATATTCCAGAAAGACGCAAAGATGGAGCAGTCAGATTGGGATTGAAATCTCAAAAAAGTCATCCTGGAAATCTTGTTTCATAGAGTTTCCCCTACCTCTCCCATAATTCCAAACCAATCTTACTTAGGGGCCTCTGCTCAGAGCCACGTGTTTTAAAGCCAGTGTCTCAGGGGCACCTGGGTGGCTCAGTGGGTTGAGTCTCTGCCTTCGGCTTAGGTCAGGATCCCAGGGTCCTGGGATCGAGCCCCAAGTGGGGCTCTCTGCTCGGTGGGAAGCCTTCTTCCTGCCCCAACCCCTACCTGCCTCTCTGCCTACTTGTGATCTCTGTCAAATACATAAATAAAATCTTTTTAAAAATAACAAAAATAAAATAAAGCAGTCTCTCAGTAATCTGTGGTGATGGACTGGTTTTTTGCTATATTGTTTTTTATTTGTATCCAGTCTTTGGAGGATACATTGCTTTTGTAAAATGCAGTGAACATGAATTGCTAGAGAAATGATCCCATGCCTGGATATCAGATTGCTCTAAAGCATTCTCGATTTTGACCTTGCCCCCTTGCAGACTATCCTTGCCTTCAAGGCCTCTATACCGTCCCCCTCAAACCACACCCTTGGCCAAGGCAGGGAGCCTGTGAATCTAGAGATGTTCATCTGGAGAGAACTTCTCTATTCTAGGTTATAGTCTCAGTGTCCAGGATCTCAGAGCCCATGCCCATTTCCAGGGCCTTCCAGGGCCCAGAAGGTGGGAGCCCCTTCTATCCAGATACATCACCCTAAATCTGAGGGGTGCCCAGGATGCCTGGCCTAGAAAGACAATGGGAGCAGACTATATATGGGTTAGGGAACCTACATTGGTACATTTCCCATAGGTCCCAAAATGTTAAGGGTGGCTCCCTGAACACACACACACACACACAGAGCTTTAATCGATTGAAGACTCAGACTGGGCATGGTTTTTGTTGGATTTTTTTAAAACAGTTGTATTGAGAAATAATTGACTGTACATGTTTAAAGTATACAGTTTTGTAAGTTTTAACATGTATAGAAGCCATGAAATGATCGCCAAAATCAAGAAAGCGCATATACCCAGCAACTGTACATCTGCATTTTCTCACAATGGAGCAGTTTACATTTTCTAGAGTTGTGTATAGACCGAATCCTGCAGTAGATAATGTTTTTTGTTTTCTTTTTTTTGAAAGATTTTATTTATTTATTAGAGAGAGAGCAAGAGTAGGGGGAAGGGGTAGAGCGAGAGGGAGAAGCAGACTCCCCACTGAGCAGGGAGCCCAATGCGGGGCTCTATCCCAGGACCCTGAGATCATGACCTGAGCCAAAGGCAGACATTTAACCAACTGAGCCACCCAGGTGCTCCATCTTTATGTCTTCTTTTGATAAGCATAATTATTTTGAGATTCATCTATGCTGTTGCATGTATCAGTGGCCCATTCCTTTTTACTCTTCAAGTATTCCGTTGTATGGAGGTACCTTAAATTGTTTTTCAATTCCCCTGTGGGGTTTTTTCCCCCATTTTTTTCTAGCTTTACTGAGATATCATTAACATATAACACCCTGTAAATTTAAGGAGTGCAATAGAATGATTCGATACATATATATGTTGCAAAATGATCCACTCACCTGTTGATGCGCATTTGGGTTGTACCAGTTTGGGGACTATTACAAATAAAAATGCACTGAACATTCATGTACAAGTCATTGTATATACACATACTTTCTTTTTTCTTGGGTAAATGAAGCAAAATGGCTAGGTCCTATGGTAGATATGCTTAATTTTTTAAGGTATTGCCAAAATGTTTTCCAAAGTGGTCTTCAAAAATCAGTTGTTCATATATGCAAGAGTTTATTTCTAGACTATTTTGTATTTTGTTTCATTGATCTATTTGTTAGCCTTTTTTCCAATAACATACTGTTTTGACTATTACAGCTTTAGAATGTCTTGAAATCAGAACAGACTCTAGATTGTTCTTTTTCAGCATTGTTTTGTTTATTCTATTTTTTGCATTTCCATATAAATGTTAGAATCAATCTGTCAATTTCAAAAAGCAGAACAAAACAAAACAAAACAAAAACAAAAAAACACCTGCTGAGACTTTCATTAGGATTGCACTGAATCTATAGATCAATGTGGAAAGAACTGACAACTTAGCAATATGGACAGACCCAGGACACAGAATATAATCTCCATTTATTTCAGTCATCTTCTAATTTCTCTCAGGAGTGTTTATAGTTTTCAGCCTACAGGTCTTTTGTCAGATTTGTCCCTAAATCTTCTGTATTATTTGATGTAATTGTGAATGGTATCTTTCTATTTCAATTTCTGAGTGTTCATTACTAGTATATAAAAATACAATTTGTTTTTGTATATTGCTCGTGAATCCTGCAACCTTCCTAAACTCACTCATCATTTTTGGTAGCTTTTTTGTAGATTCCATCGGATTTTCTTTATAGATGTTCATGACATCTGCTAATAAAGATAGTTTTAGCCTATCTTTATTAGTCTGCCTGTTTTTTTTATTAGTTGTCAAGTTTGTAGACATAGTTGTTCAAAACATTTCCTTATCTCCCTCTTAACATGTGGTCTACAGTGCTGTTACCTCTTTTATCCTGATATTAATAACTGGTGCCTTTCTCTCTCTTTTTTTTTTCTAATTAGTCTGGCTAAAAGTTGGTCGCTTTTGAGCTTCTCAAAGAACCAGCTTTTGGTTTGAGTGATTTTCTCTGTTTTTCTGGTTTCTATTTCATTGACTTCTGCTATGATCTTTATTATCTTTATCTTTTATCTTTATTATTTCTTTTCTTCCTTTTTCTTTGGGCTTCATTTGTTCTTCTTATTCTAGTTCCTTAAGATAGAAACTGAGATCACTGTTTAGAGATGTTCTTTTCTAATACAGGCATTTAGTAGATAAAATTTCCCCTTGAGTACTGATTTAGTAGTATCCCACAAATTCTCACATGTTGTGTTTTCATTTTTATTTACTTCAAAAGATTTCAAAATTCCTCTTTTGAATATCTTCAATGGCCTCTTGTTATTTAGAAGAATGCGGGTTTGGTTTCCAGATATTTGGGGATTTTTTTTTTTTTTTAGAGGTCTTATTTATTTCTAATATGATACCACTGTGGTCAAGGAACACACTTTGTAGGAATTAAATCCTTTTAAATTTATTGAGGCTTGTTTTATGGCCCAGAATATGTTCCATCTTGGTAAATGATCCATGTATACTTGGGAAGAATGTGTATTTTGCTGTCACTGTGTGGAATGTTCTGTGAATTTTATCACTGCTTTTGATTATGAGGGGCATTGGTATAGCTTTCTTTATGGTTCTTATGATGGGTGTTTATTGAGCATCTCGGACTTGTGGGTTTATAGTTTTCATCAATTTTGGAAATATCTTAACCATTATTTTTTAAGGTTTTATTTATTTCTTAGAAAGAGAGAGAGAGCAGAAACGGGAGAGGGAGAAGGAGAAGCAGAGACTCCGCTGAGCAGGGACCCTCACTGGACACGGGACTCTATCCCAGGACCCTAAGAGCAGAGCCTGACCCAAAGTTTGACACTTAATGGACTGAGCTGCCCCAGAGCCCCTATCTTAGCCATTTATTAATTTATTTCCAATTTAATCCCACTATAGTCAGAGAACACACTTTGAATGAATTAAATCCTATTTAATTTATTGAGACTAGTTTCATGACCCAGAATATACTATAGTTTTAATTAGGTAGACTTGGTTGGTAGTATCGTTCAAGTCTACTATATTTTGCAGATTGTCTGTCTGCTTCTTGTATCCGGTATCGACAGAGGGATACTGAAATCTCCAGCTTTTACTGTGAATATTTCTATTTATTTTTGCAAGTTGACCTAATTAAAATATTAGTTTTGTTTCATGCATTTCAAAGCTCTGTTATTAGGGCATAAATATTTAGAATTGCTGGGTCCTCTTGATTATCACTGTAAAATGAACCTCTTTATCCTGGTAATATTCTTTTTTCTGAAGTCTGCTTTGTTTGATAGTAATGTAATCACTTCAAGTTTCTTCAATTCATTGTTATCATGGTAAATCTTTTCTCATCTTTCTGAACTATTTGTATCCGTATATTTGAAGCACACGTTTTGAAAACATTAATTGCATCTTGATTTTTTTTAAAGATTTTATTTATTTATTTGACAGAGAGAGAGATCACAAGTAGGCAGAGAAGCAGGCAGAGAGAGAGAGGGGGAAGCAGGCTCCCCGCTGAGCAGAGAGCCCGATGTGGGGTTCGATCCCAGGACCTGAGATCATGACCTGAGCCGAAGACAGAGGCTTAACCCACTGAGGCACCCAGGCACCCTGCATCTTGATTTTTTAATGCATTTGGCAATCATTGTATTTTAACTGGCTATATATATACTACTTACATGTAGTATGATTTTTGACATGGTTAAGTTGAGGTCTGTCATCTTCCTATTTGTTTTCTGTTTGTCTCATCTGTTATTTTTTCCTCTCTCTGTCTTCTTTTGGATTTATTGTGTATTGTAGGATTCCATTTTACCTCTTTTGTTGGAATATTAGCCATAACTCTTTGTTTTATTCTTTCCATGGTTGCTTTAGGGTTTATAGTATACATTTTTTTAAGATTTATTTATTTCTTATTTTAGAGGGGGGTGGTGGCGAGGGAGGAGCAGAGACAGAGGGAAAGAGAATCTCAAGCAGACTCCCCACTGGGCAGAGCTTGACATGGGGCTCGATCC